TACTATCGTAATTCAATTCAATCCAAAATCAATAATCATAAACCGGTCATCATAGTCCATAAATCATCACCAGTAAATCGTGTATCAATAAACAGTAAACCATAGATTTTAATGTACCATATTTCAAAACATATAAAACAATTATGTAGTAAACAGGGAACACACCTCGATAATAGGTTCAGATAGTAGATCTACTGATTGCTGGTTTCACCACGCTCTGCTACAGTTTCGAACGGTAAATACTGGCACACATGGTTTAACTGATCTAGAAGAGTTGGGTCGAGCTGTCGAATGATCCGGAGAGTCTCTTATACCTTCAAATAATAATAATTTATCAGCCCAAATCTTACTTAATTGTTCAAAGCTAGACTTCTTAAGTATATAAGCATTTTTCGGGTTTGACTATCAATTTGGGGTATTTCGAGTCTGAATTTGGCCAAACGGATTGCGGAATCGGAATCAGGACGTCGAAAAACATAAAGTATGACTTTTCGAAAATTCAAATTCTTGGTCAAAGTCAAAGTCAACCACTTTGACCGTCGATTTGGAGGCCTTCGGGTTCGAATTTGACGAAACGGACTTCGTAAACGGATTCGGGACGTCGAAAACTATCAGAATAGTATACTCGGAAAAGATTAATGGTCGTTTAATGCTCGGTCAAAGCCATTTTAAGTTTTGGTCAAAGGAGGTCAACGGTCACGGTCAACGGTCGGGTCGGGTCGGGTCGGGTCGGTCGGGTCAAACCGGTTTCCAGCAGTTCACTCTCCCTACGGCGGCGCGTGTGGCGCGTGAGGCCTCTTCCGGGCCTCTAAAAATCCCGGAAAAATTTCTAAAAATTATTTTGAGCGATTTCGAGATACTTACAACGATCGGTTCAAATTTTTGAACGACGGAGAGCTCGATTTCAACTCGGCCGAATATTTGACTGCTCCACCTCCTCACGCGCCGCCGTCGACGGCGAACAAGGTTGACACCGGCGGACTCGCAACGACACAAGGAACACGATGGTGCAGGAGGTGTCGTAAACGGAGCAACGATCGGCGGTGAATTTAAGATTTTCCCGGCGATAGAGCTAAAAAAAAACGTCGATGCTTTGACTTGAAATTCCCGACGTTTGGCAGCGTTTCGCTTCAATTAATTTAAGGGATTGTTCCTGACTCGATAACGAACACGATGGTGGTTTTAAAACGACGATCGGAATTCGGACGGCGTCGGATCGAGGTTGGAAACCGGCGTAGGGGAAGGGAATTTGGGAGCATTTGGGGTGTGGTTTTCTATTTTGAAACAGAAAACCACACATATATCATATAACATACCTAATTTTCTTGGGTAAATTCAGGGCTTCGTCCCTGAATTTTCTTTAATTCTAAAACAAGCTCCAAGTTTTAAAATCTTTCAATTTAGTCCCCACAATTTACCGATTTTCACAATTAAAACCTCCAATTTCAATTTAAATATTATTTTGTAAATATTCGGGTTGTTACATTAGGATTGGATGCAGGAACTTTATACAGTGACAAAGGGAGGATGGGATGTAGGAACATTATTTTTAACGAAAGTCTTCTTGTATAGAAAATATATACACACATACATAATTTTTATCCTTATATTATCGTGGCTCTCAAATTTCTACTGTTCCTTCTTTGTCTTGATCCCCTCCCCCAATTGTTTTCCCTTTCTTCTTTATGGTTTTTATTAGGGGCTTGCTAAATTGTTGTCTTTCTATTGTTCTCTTATGTGAAAGGCATTCTTAGGTTTCATGAATGGGAAGGCACCACAGACAATATTAACTGACCAAAATATGTGTCTCAAAGAAGCCATAGCCACTGAAATGCCTACAACTAAGCATGCACTCTGTATATGGATGATTGTGGCAAAATTTCCATCCTGGTTTAATGCTATTTTGGGGGAACGTTACAACGAGTGGAAGGCTGAGTTTTATCGACTCTACAATTTAGAGTCAATTGAGGATTTTGAATTGGGCTGGAGGGATATGGTCAACTCTTTTGGGTTACATACTAACAGACATATTGCCAACTTGTTTGCATTACGCTCGCTATGGGCTTTGCCATGCTTGAGAAGTCATTTTTTTGCTGGAATGACTACAACTGGCCACTCGAAGGCAATCAATTCTTTCATTCAAAGGTTTTTAAGTGCACAGACTCGACTTGCACACTTTGTGGAGCAGGTATGCTCTCTTTCCTTCAAACCCAATTGTGAGATTTTGTTGAATCTCGACTTATGATTCTTGAAGCACATGCATCTAGAGTTTTCATTTAGCTGTTCCTCAAGGTATAGGACAGAAATTGATTGTTTTAGGAGATCAGAATATATATGGTAGTAAGTACTTAATTTAGGCTTGTACAAACTCTTTTTTTTTTGTCAAGTTGCCAGCCATTGCTTCTTTCATCAAGGTGTGAAGTTGGAGTTTTTAATGCTTCTCCTCTGCATACCCTGAATCTGATTGACATGTAAAGCTATTGCTCTTTGAAACATGGATAATCTCATCCATTAAACTTAAAGCCATCTTCATTATCACCTTAAGCTGAGTTCTACTCCATTTTATGTCTACCCAGTTTTAACCAAAGAATAAAAATTGTAGTAGAGAATTTCCAAGGTGTAGAAAAGCAATTAAATTTGTAAAAATACTTTTTGGAATTTACATCGGATTTGTTCTTTCTTTATTGTTACAGTTTATCTACGTGATTAAACATTAAGAAGTCTACATTAAGATAATATAGCCTAGATTAGATGCAGTTTGATCAACTTGCCTTATATCTGAACTTATGCCTGATTCAGCAGTTAGGATTAAGATTTCTTTGTACCTAAGCCTGTCAAGTTCATTGAACCATGCCTTTATCAGTTGATGGGGTCGAATCTTCCCGGGCTAATGTTGGGTTTGGAAGATGATCTCTGCTAATTAACGTATAAACCTGAACCTCATGCTGCTAAATTAAATTTGATTATCTTATAATCTCCGCACCACTGTCATAATGGTGGGGTTGGAATTTGGCTTCTATTCAGGATCAGTGTTTATCTTGACACCTATTTTCCTTTTGTTGATTGCGACACTTGTTTTTGCTTGTAATGCATCAAAAGTGTGATTGCAGAGATGATTTGGCAATTCTTCATTCTTTATTTCACCAGCTATCATGTAGCTTGCTTTAGGTTCCCTTTTTTATTTAACTTTATCAATCAGGTTGCTGTTGCTGTGGATTTTAAAGATCAAGCAGCAGAACAACAGACAATGCAGCAGAACCTTCAAAATATTTGCCTAAAAACTGGAGCTCCTATGGAATCTCATGCTGCCTCTATCCTCACTCCGTTCGCCTTCTCGAAGCTTCAAGAACAACTAATTTTAGCTGCTCACTATGCATCATTTCAGATGGATGATGGTTTTCTTGTAAGACATCATACAAAACTCCAGGGAGGCCGAAAAGTGTATTGGGTTCCTCGAGAAGGCATTATAAGTTGCAGCTGCCATCAGTTTGAGTTCTCCGGAATTCTTTGCCGCCATGCCCTTCGAGTTCTCTCCACAGGAAATTGCTTTCAGATTCCAGACCGATATCTTCCTTTACGCTGGAGAAGGATCAACACATCACCCGCAAAGCTTCTACAAGGTTCTTCTGGTGACCATACAGAGCGGATTCAGTTGTTGCAGAGTAAGGTATCAACCCTTGTAGCCGAATCCGTCAAATCGAAGGAGAGGTTGGATATGGCTATGGAACAAGTCTCCATTCTTTTATCTCGCGTTAGAGAGCAGCCGGTTACATCACAAGGTGTGTCTGATATTTCCCCTATTCATAGAAATCTTTAAGAACCATAACTCAGAACAATTAGTGCAGAAGGCAAGATGAGAAATTTTGATTAAAAAGAAAAAAAAAAGTCAGATTGAGGTTAGAAATGCAAGAGTTGATGAAGGGTTCAGCATTTGCAAACTAATTTTGTAGCTATGTAATGCAATCAAGATATAGAAGTTTCACTCCATAGGCATAGTTTGTTGTCTATTCCTTTTAATGTTTTGCTTGCCTATACTTTGGTGGAAGGAAGGGGAGGGAATGTTCTCGCTGTGTAAAATATTTACAAACAAGGAGCTTATCTTGTGTTGTATGAAACTCATGGTAATTTTAGGGGAAATGGGGGAGAAGAAAAGAAAATTGCCCATTTTGCTTTTGCTCTCATTGCATAACAAGAACTTGTTCTAAATGAACTTTAATTCTTTCTTAGGTCAATAATCAAATGTATTGTTTTATTGTGCGCTTAAACACGCATACATTAAGATTCACATACTCCAACTTATGTCAATTAAGATTTGATCGATAAACACACGAGATTCACATTCTTCATATGAATTTAACTTAAACTCATTGGTTTTTGTTATTATCATCATCATAAATAAATATTTTAAGACTATTTCAAGTATTTTATAATCAAAATATGTTTTTAACATATATATTTATTTAAAAAATAAAAAAGGTAAAAAGAGAAACTAACAATGGTAGAGACAAAAGAGAAAATATAGGAACAAAAATGGAAGGGGAAAGGTTCAAAATATTTAAAATACTTTTATAAAATTATTGTAGATAAATAATTTAATTATTTTTTAAAAAGGGCTAATCTTACCGATAAAAAATAAATATACGGCCAAAATTACTTATGTAAAATTTGAAATCAAATCTATACATTAAAAATTAAAAGTTAAATGTTATTTTTTCGTGATTTAATATTTTTAATTCAATAATTAATGTTGTGAATATTTGTGCCAAAAATTACCAATTTGATATATTTACTCTTTTGGCACACTCAATCATATGTTACGTCGTATGAGAATAGCTTAACAATGGAAATAGGAACTTTAAATTAAGAAATAGAGAGAATTAAAATCTTTTATTTACTTTAAGCACGGGGACTAAATATCAAACATTGTTAATGTACAGGGACTGATACTGATCTGTATATGAGAAAACATTTAGAAAAAGAAAAAAATATCCTATAAAACTAAGTCCTAAAAATTTGAAGGAAAAAAAAAGGTTATTGTTGGAGAGACGAGAAAGGAGAGGAGATGGCGACGACGGTGGTGAAGAGCGCTTTGCAGGCGATCCGTGAGAGGGGTCTCCGGACTTTCTTGAGGGACCTTGAGGATGAAGGCTTCACGTTCGTAATCCCACTCTCTTCCTTTTTTATCATTTCGATTTCTTCAAACTTCTCTTAATTCTTCGATTCAAAATATGAGCAACCCCCTGTTTTACATTATTTTTAATTCATCATTTTTACTGATTATTCCTTTTTTCCCTTCAGGAAATGCTTCTTCGATGGAAACCTTCTGTACGTCAGATTCTCTTTCCTTATAATCTCCAGTTCTTTTTTACTTGGGAAATTGTAATTAAAAAAAATCGTTTCATTTGGAAAAAAAGGGGGAATTAGGAGGTTGTTGAAATTGAAATTTTAGTAAATTTCTAAATAGAATATGTTGTTTGCTACCAGAATATGATTTGAATTCGGCATTCCAATTCTTTTGTTTTGTTTTTACGAGATTTGAATAAATAGAAAACCTTAAACTTTAGCAAAACTTGACTGTAAATCCCTTAATTTGGGGGGGTGGGGATGGATCTAGGAATATTATCCAGCTTCAATGAGATGTTTCTGCTTTAATGATTCTAAAATATACAACTTGCAAAGACATTCAGTGGCTACTGGGCAAGGATAAAGGGGCAATGGATTGTGTAATTAGGAACTGATTCACCAATAAACAATGTGAATAATTTTCTTTTAGCTCTTAAGTGTTTAGAAATCTTAGGATTTAAACCCCAGCTTCCTTGGGTCTAATCCATTGTACTGCACATATGATAGGAGTAAAACATTTGGAACATTGACTTGAATTCAAGTTTTGAAAACTTGAGAGCTAAAAGAAAATTGACTCGAATTCAAGATTTAAACCCAGCTTCTTTTGTATTTTTATTGGTTGTGTAGAAATTTGAACATTGACTTGAATTCAAGTTAGGAAACGAGTGATATGTGCAGTTTTTAGTGATCTTTTTTCAATGGCAATATAGAAAATTGCCATGGATTTTGCTGCGTTTTAACTTAGGATAGTTAGCCTGTGCATACCACCCATTGCCTAACTTGAATTCAAGGGTCTGCACTTAAACCTGCATGGAATTTTCGTGACAAAGCTAATAGATTTGTAATTAGTCTCTTTCATTTGCTAGTCTCATACGACATATTAGTTTGCTGCAATGCAAAGTCAAGAAGCATTGCTTGTGAGTTATAGCCAGTGGGGTATGAATGACATGTGCAATTTTTATGATAATTGCTTTCTTTACCTTTATGGTGGCAAATGAATATGACAGTGTATAATTGTGAGGGTAGGCTATCTAGTCTAGATATCTTCTCTTGGTTCCAGGAATTTGTCAAACTGGAGTAGAACAATATTTGCATTTCATTTTTTTTTAAAAAGAAAAGGAAAGGAAGATGCACTTGGCCTTCTGTGAAGATCATATTGTCTTAATATTTTTCTATTTGATAGTTAGCCTGCTGCTAACTGTGTCATTTCTAATTATGAGGACAGGCTATATAGGGGCTTTTGTTTTCTCATATGGTCTTGACACATCTTTCTTATAGATTAGTTGCATTTTTTCACTTTTCCTATTTTTACCATTTTTCTATGTATTTTTTTTTACAATAAAGAATTTTTCATTTTTATCATATTCTTCCAGCTCTTCAAACTTCAGGAGTTCTGTATCACTTTTTTTTACACCTAAATAATGCATGTCGCATGAGTCTGAGTTTAATTTTGGAAATGCTCATCATTTTTATCTATTTCGTCTGTGATAATAATTTGACTGATGATCCAGGCAAACCAAAATCCACAACATAGGAGCAACACTTGTGGGTGTTGATAAATTCGGCAATAAGTATTATGAGAAGCTTGGAGATACGCAAATTGGTTAGATTTCCTATGCCTGAAGGAAAATTGGATGATTTGAAGTGTGCATGCTCGAGCATTTAAGTACTCAAAACGCACAAGATTTTCCCTTCAGCTGTATTCTTTAGATTATTGGTTTTCATATTTCCTTGTCTTACATGCATGCATATGGATGTATTTACTTATAACAAACGATGATGTGCAACAATAAACACTGCCTCTATGAATGTACTATACAAGATGGTAGTGTCTCTGATTTATGTTTATTACCATTCATGGCATATGTAGGAAGACACAGGTGGGTTGAATATGCAAAAAAGGATCGTTACGATGCTTCTCAGGTACCACCGGAATGGCATGGTTGGCTTCACTGCATAACTGATCACACCGGTGATGAGGCAAGTCCCGTTTACACTATGTTGCCTTACTCAATGTAAGACTCTGGGCTTGATCGTTTTTAATATATACATGTATTTGCAGCTTTTGATGCTAAAACCCAAGAGGTATGGGGTTGAGCACAAGGAAAACTTATCTGGCAAAGGTAGTGAGTTTATCTACCATTCGAAAGGGCATACGCTTAACCCGGGTCAGAGAGACTGGACAAGGTACCAATCATGGCAACCAACCAAGACAGAGTAGTCTGAGAAACCAATCTCTTGTGTTTGCAAGTTCTGGGACGTTTGACTCATTTTTTATGAATAATATGTTGTATTTGTCTTAAAGTATAGCTTTTGTGCAGGCAAGAAACTGCAAACTATCAACTTGGTATTTGGATGTTGTCAATAAATTTCAGATCATCATCTGAAATTGTTGAGTTTTAATCTAAATTGATGTTTTAGTTTATGTTCTAGATTGAGGATGGTAAGATTGTAAAAAATCAGACCGGATTGGTCAGTTCAACCATACAAGTTAAACCGGAAAATTTTGAAGTTGATTGGAACCAGTAAAAGCTGCAAGGCAGAAACTTGGAAAATTGTATTATTTATTTATTTTATAAAAAATAGGTTTTTGAAATAATTTTTGGTTTATTCACATTCTCCTTTTTTAATCTAATATTTTATTAATATATTTTATGTTTTTTCGCCTCAATTATTAATTTATTTATACAAGACTATCCAAATATTAATTTTCAAACCCTAAAGTTGAATTCTAGCTTAATATTCAACTCAGATAGGAAGGTTGGGTCCATGAGCCCAAAACAATAAATTTCCCACATTTGGAGTGGGTCTGATATAAAGGTACTACAACCACTTTAAAACAAAAGGTAAACCACACTTTTCATCACTCAACTTTTAATATTTATTTATTTTAGTCACTTAATTTTAAAAGATTTAAATTTCATCATTAAAATTTTGTATTACATCTATTCCAGTCACTCAAACATTACATGTAAAAACAATACGGTGATGAGGTATTTTATTATATATTAATGTGAATGTCATATATTGTCTCTCTTTTTTTTATTTCATCATCTTCCCAACAAAAATGAATCTTTTAAAGTTTCATCTTTATGTCACGTCACTTTTGAAATAATTATTTTTTAATATATTCTTTGACCATTCTAGAAATAGATGAACTCGTGTCATTATCTTCTGTCACTCTATCAGTTTAAATTTTCTCAAAACCTCTTTATAATTCGGTAAATTCAACTCTAAATTAAAAAAAAACTCTAATCTATAATCTTCACTATTCATTCAATGTAAGATCAAGATATATTTTTGGTCTCCTCTTCCATCCTTCTATTGTTGGAATTTGAAAAAAAACTCTCTAGGGTAAGAAAACAACAAAGAATCCAAAAAATAATGTTAAAACTCGTGAGCGCGATCAAAATACGATCAATTAAAAACTTTAATGATGAAATTGAAAATGTTTAATATTAATAATAAAAACAGAAACAAGTTCAAAGTTGAGTGGTAAAAAACTGTGATTTATCTTGAAATAAAATATTAAAACTCTTTGAAAGTTGGAGTAGGAAATATAAACGAGCATTAGGGTTTTAGTAGACAGAAAAAAGAAAATGGCCAAGTGTTTCAACGTAGTTCAGAAGCAGAAGAGAGCACAAAGAGCAACCCATGGCGACCCTTCAACTAAGAAGCTTAAGAACAAATCTCAATCGCTCTCCATCTCTGGCAAGCGTAAACGCAAGCTTCTCAAAAAATGGCGCAGAGTATTATTCATGTTTTCAATGGCTTACCACGGAAAATATTTTTTTCTTCCATATTTAATGCGTTCTTTGTTTTAATGGATTCTTTGAGTTCTCTTTGGAAATAATCATCTGGGTTTTTTTTTCTGGTAATGAATAATAGGATCAAAAAGAAGTATTAGAAAAGGGATTGGTGACTATGGAAGATGTGGAGATGGTGGCTGCTGAAGGTATTTTTATTTTATTTTTCATTTTAGTGTTTGATTTCATGACTGTTCTGTTGTTCAAAAACTGCCATTATTCTTCTAAATTATCATGAATGTAAGTGCTTAGGCTTAAAAGCTATTCTTAAAGCTGTTTGATGTATTTACCTTATAATTACTAATTTACTATGCAATTAAGCCATTCATAATTCTGATCCACAAAAGTATATCACGGATCCTTACATAATTTGGCGTTGTGTTGTGCTTGGATAATTGCTAGCTAAATGCTCCTGGAAATTAGCTTTTACTGTTCTTAAAAAAAAGGCTATCTTAAGGTCAGTTTAATGGATGACCATTACCTCTGGTTTGCATTTTAAATTCCAATCTGTTTCCTAAATACAGGTACGTCTCAAGACGCAGGCACATCCCAAGATGCCACCAACAAGGCACCAACGAAATTCCACATGAAGAAGAATTTGAAGCTCAATCGTGTTAAGCGAAAAGGTTAGATAGATAGCTTATCCTCTGAAATTCAGCATTGTCACCTTGTATGTTACTCGGATTTGGGGTACTTGTTGGATACAGGTTTGTTTCTAAAATGGATATGCTCTATTTATATATAGGGAAATTATCTAAGTGTCCATTGTTCCCTTTATGAATTTTAGTTTTGGGTTGAGTTTCTCGTTCCCTGACAAATATTCATAGAACGTAATTCACTCATTGTAAATACAGGTAAAAAGAAGGGTTCTAAGCCTGCCATTGAAGCTTCAGTGGATTCTATGGTAGAATAAGTTTTGATGAAGGAAACCAACATATCATCAAGCTAATATTTATACTTTGGGGACTTGGTTTTGTACGATGTTGTCTTGGAATCAGCTTGGCAACGATATTTGATGGGCTAATGCTTGTTTTATTTAATATATTTAGTTGTAACATCTGTGTTCTGCACACAATTGTTCTTACCAGTGATAGTAATGAGCAAAAGTTGTTGGATGTTAATCATCGAACTGAAATGTTATTTATTTATTTTATAAAAGAAATATAAACATCACTCAAAAGTATTTTTTATGCAACTCTTAGGGAGTTCATTATAAATTTAGAATGCCAAACTGAAATGCAATTGCAAAAATTATATAGAAAGCTTTAAATTGATGTATAACAAGAGATGTCCAATTATTTTAGACCCACAAGTAACAAAATTGTGAAATTGGGATGGCTTAGTGGATTTGGCATAATTAAATATAATTCCAAACTATGTTTAATTAATAATTATAATTACTTTTCATTTTTTAAGAAAAGAGGGAAAATTAAACTAATTACATGCTATGCAAATAATTAATTATTATAACATCAAATATGAGAATTCGGTTTTTTAAAATTATTGAGCCCCTAAATTGATATAATTTCTTATAATTGAAAGCGGATATAACTACTTGCAATTACTATTATCTATGGTGCGTCCAAGCACACCCTTGATTATGAAAAGGTTAAATTTAATCTTGCAGGATTATTAACTTACAGAGTGATGTTAACTAGTATTTGGTGATTGCTAATGCAGTTGATATTTAGAAAACCTGATGGATTCTTTTTGAAATTATTAAAAAATATTGTACTAAATTCAAAATAACCATAATAAAATAATATTATTCTTTGTAACACCAATGATATCAGATCGATTGATGGACTAATTTAAATTAGACCTTACAAATACTAATCATAAGAACAACACTCTCAATTCGATTTTATTTAATTACAACATCAAGATTTGAAATTCGGACCTTTGTTTGAGGGGTGCATCATCCTGCCTGACCAATTAGTAGTCGTAGTCGGCAAAAAAACATTGGTCTAAACTAAAATTCGCAGTCGCAGATGAAATTAAAATCTGAATCAAAATTGTATACCCACTAAATCATTTTTGTAAATCACTCTCCCTCCACTATATTTCTAGAGTTCAGATATTGAATTCCAACTTAACACTCTACCGTTGCACCACAAATACACTCCCCCTGAAGCTAAATTCAGTAATTTACAGAATATAGCTAAAGGGAATACAATTCTAATATAACCCAAAGTTGTGTTCTTCCACGATAAATTTGTTTTCATTACCTTGTATTATCAATTCAATCAAACATATTGGGAAGGGGTCTCACAGCCATAAATGCATCCACCATCTAGAAGAAAGAAAACAAAAGAGTTCCCCATCAGTTATTGATCTTCAATTTTATGACTGAATTACTTTTCGGATGAGAAGAACCATGATATATATATCAATGGAGTTACTCAAGAGCCTTACCACATCTGTTACTGCTGCTCGAGCCCTTCGATGTCTTTCTACCAGTTCAGTCAAAACTTCAGTGAGTCGCTTTTTCACCTCGCCTGTAAGCATGCGCCCCGCACCGTACTCCTAGCAAATGATGAGAATATGAATACCAAGAAATGACAAGAACCTGACATTTGCAGGCAAAGCGTTGAAACTGATGAAGGCAGCAAGTTTACCTTCTTTATGTGCTCAAGTTCAGCATCGTCCTCGAGGAAAAAGTTAAGATACTTGATTGGTATATCCACCTGAAACACAAACAAATCCGGTTTTTCAGTAGCATGCTAAAGACAAAACAAGGAAAAAAAAGGAACATTAAAAATGAAGGAACCGAAATGCTAATACCAATAGCTTCAACGACAATAAAAGAATAGTGTGTTTATGTGGATGCATGTGCATTTGGATCTGTGTGACTGTCTGCATTTTCAGGCGGCTAATATGCATCTAAATGAGGTCTGGATCCGGTCACCATCCTTGAATGGTAATAACATTATAAAGAGAAACCTCACTGGTAACATGTGATGTGATAGTTGAAAGCTGAAGCACAAACTGGCAAGAAAAAACAACTGATATGTCACAACGGAACAACAAATTCATTACCTCAAGATTTGCCCCATATTGTCTATGTTTTTCAATGGATTCTTGGCCACCAGTGAAAGCATGCTTGTTTACCTAAAGACGAATACAAATCACAGTATGTCCAGAGATCAATAGAAGCGAGTAAATAGTAATTTATTTGATCTTTCAACTTGCTGTAAGCTTTCCTTCCAATGATCAGTTATAAAATATGTGCAACAAGTCACACTATATGGGAGTGCAGAATTTGCAATAATGCAGCTAAACTAAAGCAAGAAACAAGCACAAGAAAAAGCAGATCTAATATAAAGAATCTATAGATACAGTTCCAACATATTAATCTGAAGTACACAAGACCCGAAAGCAATTGGATTGACAGTCCTGTAACTAGTGCTTGAGAATAAGTGAACAGAAATAATAAAATGATTAAAAGTTCCGGCCTCAGTAAAATATTACTAAAACTTCTTTAATGAACCCATGAGGACGTAAAAAGTCTTGTGATATATCCATGAGATTCATGATGCATCTATTTTATTTCAATGAAATTAGGTAAGCTTCCCATCACAAAATATTTGAAAGGTGTACCAGTTACACTAACAAGATGGATAAGGTCAAACATGTAACATTTTCTGTCAACAAAGAAACTAGCAAAGAAGAAAGACGAGAAATTTCATGAACTTACCTTGAGTTTGATGTCCTTTGCAGAATCAGTCACGTAAATAGCAGAATTTGGATCACTAGCTGACATTTTCCCTGTTTCTCCCTGAGATTGCATGTGCAAAAAAAGATGAGGCTATTTTTTAAATTAGAGTAGAATGATTACAAAGTATATGATTCTATAAAGGCAATATAGCACATTTTGGAATGAACATGACATCAAATTCAATATTGACGTGTAAATTCATATTTGGTGTATCCAATTTAAACCATATTTGAAGTCAAACAAATGGAGAACACAAATACTTGATGGTATCATGGTAGTGAGCTGACAAGTATTCCGTGATGAGCCTCCTAGCAAAAAAAAACCCCTCCTACCATATGCATAAAGAACTTGAAACATAAATTTTTTAAAGCAAATAAGGAATCATAATGTAGACTATATGCACTTTTTAAGCTTCCAGCCTCAAATGAAATGTCAAGAAAATAAGTCAAATGAAGAGCTCTGAGTGAAACAAGTCAAGATTGCTTTATGAATAAAATGAAACTATAGTAAATATTTATTTGCTTAAAAGTTAAAATTGTACAATAACTGAACAAAGCATTAAACTTGTATGAAATATCTAAGACAAAGAAGATAAGGAAAAATAAAGCAATTCAAACCAAATAGATGGGTACAACGTCAAACTTTGGCTACACAGATGCAATATAGTTTATTTGCAAAGTTATGGGCTATGATATAATGTGCAAACATTATGTTACAGGAAATAACCTGATTGTCAATAACAGCTCTTTATCAACAAACACAAACTTATGACGAATTCATTACAGTAGTATCCTAATAATGTTTCTATGCCTACAAAGAATACCTGGAGAGCAGGAAAGAACAGTGATTCAATCAATGCAGGCTTATGATACCCTATCCGAGGAGCAACATCTCGTGTCATTCTGAAATATGGGTCCTGAGCAACAGCAACAAATTTTACATAAAAAAATTGAAAAATATAACTGCAAAAAAACAGAGCTAGAGAGAAAAATCCCAAGGGAAAGGATTGGCGGGCTAATCATTTAAAATAACCAAGGTAAACATAAGTTTTTACCAATTGTAAACAAATAATTAATTAATAAATTGACAAATTTCAGAATCAATTTGACTTAATGCTTCCTTTAAGTTGCAAAGCAACAACACCGAAAGACCCAACATCCAAACTTGCACTAGTTATAACCGTTTCACAAATGAAAGGAAACATGAAAGGCCATTGTAGCATATTTTTAAAGTTTGCAAGCTACTGTGAGCAACAATAAGGTGTGTGGAGTAATACATAAAACTAAGGATTAACATTCAAAACCCACAGTTATCACTTACAAAACCATATACTCTTTAGTCTCTTTATTTTATAATCAAGAGTTAATATGCTATCATTATATGATAAAACTAAGCAGAGTCTAAACAAAACGCTGAACCTGGTCAATTGCACATGGAATTAGACAACGTAGATTATCCTTGCCAGAGAATAGATGTGGGAATGATGAGGGAAATGATGGAACAGCCTGCACCAACAGAAATATAAGCACAGTCATCAATAAATGCATATATTTGGCACACAAAAAAGAGACCAAATCAGTAACTAGATTTCCTTTTAGTAGCCAGTAGCCAAAATTTAAAGAATATATAATCATGAACAACACCTAAGCTCACATCAATGCACAAACAGTATAAAAGCATAGAAATTTTATATAACATCACTGCAACTGTAGTAATCGCAAAATCGGAAAATGCTAGGGCAAAGAAGTATACCTGCACAGGTGGAAAACTAACTTTTCCAATATGATCCTCACCTGTGAATCCAAATATGCCAACAACCTAAATATCACCAAAAGGAATATAGTTACTCAAACTATAAGGTCAATGGCTCTTCCACTCACAAAGCAAAGAATAAAAATAGCACCTTGTTGTAAGTAACACACTTAGCAACCTTCACCATATTTTTATAGAAGGCACTGCAAATCAAAACATTAACAAAATTATATTAGCATCCAAATTCCAAAGACTAGTCCCGGAAAATGTTAAAAGGAAATGCTTAATAAATCCTCTGGTGTTTCCTTACCCTCCAACATAATCAAAGTCTGAGAATATGAAGGTCTTTGATATGTCAAAACCACAAGCAATTATATCTTTAGCGTTCTCACGGGCAAGTCTTTGGCTCTCCTCCACGGAAAGATTTTTCCACATGCACTTCTCATCATCAGTTAGTTGTATAACAAGAGGGACTTTGAAGGCATCTTGAAGGTATCTGCAAGAAACATCAAGCATTGACCAAAATGTATAGAATTAAGTGTATGACTATGTCTATGACCAACACTCAAATAAAAAACATTTATTTTCCTTCCAATTCTCTCTTAAGACCACAAAAGCAATTAAACCTCGTGCTTTTAGGAGTAATTAC